GCAAATTCATTTTTAGAGCTTTTTCAGTGACTTCTCAGTTACACACTCTTCAGGATCATGTTTTGTCCATTTTTAACCTTTGCCAATTTGAAAGGAGACATTGTACAATTGTAACTTATTTTAAATTAATAAAACGATAAAATATTTTTTCTCCTTTTACCAGTGCAAACAGAATTTATACTTTTTTTTGTTCTCATTGTGAATGTAAGATGCTGTCATCTCTAATTTAAATTAAGACAGTTTTCCAGCTCTTGTCTTTGCTTCCAGTCTACCTTCCTACTCGATCTATTTTCTGCAAAGCAAGTGGAATCATTTTTTTGCACGAGGACCAGATCATATCACCTTTGTGCTTACATAGCTTTGCTAGTAGGTTAGAATCATTGTCACGTCTTTCTCAGGCCTGTGAGACCTGGCTTCTGCTTCCCACTTGCCATTCTGTCCCTGGCTCACTTGTCCCGGCTCACTGGCCTTCTTCAGCCGAAGAAGCCTGTTCCCCAAACCCTGTATGTACCTTTTGTGTCATGGTCTTTGCTTTTGGCGTTGTCTCCAGCCAGGGTGCTCTAAACCCAACATTTCCACTCCAACTTCTTTTCACCTGACATAGTTCAGTTAAGATGTGGTCTCTTCATCTTCTTTCTGAAATTCAGATGGCCCTCTGCCCTCCTTACCTCTCTGCTTTCTCACCTTTTGATTTGAGGTCCATCTATTGTTGGTATCCACTCCTTTTCATATTGATAGGACTGTTTCTCCCACACTTCTTTACTTTCCCATGTTCATTTATTTGATATGTTGTTATTTTAGCATTATTGTATAAAATGCATTCAATGTAAGTAACATAAAACCTATGTTAGCCCTTCTAAGAATGCAGGGCATTGTCAGTGAGTGCTTTCCCAGTGTTGTGCAGCCATCAGCAACATTGGTTTCCAAAACTCTTGCGTTACCCCAAAGTGATGTTTTGTACCCATTAAACATTAACTGTATCTGCTTTCCCAGCCTATCCTTCATAACTTCTATTTTGTTTCCATAAATTTGTCTAGCCTACTTGCTTCTTATCACAAACTACATCTATATTTTTGGGCTATTTTTTTGTAAATAATGTAGTATTTTCAGAGTTCATTTATCATACGGTAGCATGTGTCAGTATTTCATTCCTTTTTACAGCTGGATAATCTAGTGTGTGTACACAATTTTGTTTATACATTTATCTGTTAATGGATGCTTGGGTTGTTAATAGTGCCTTTAATGTTGGTGTGTAAGTATTTCTTTTGAGTTCTTGGTTTCATTTATTTTGGGTATATGTCTGGAAATGGAATTGCTGGATCAGATGATAATTCTGTTTAAATCTCTGAGGAACACCAAACTTGTTTTCCATTTTGTGTTCTCCAGTTTTACAACCTCCACTTGATAATGTTTTTTGATAACACCTATTCTAATATGTATATATTCATGTCCCATCATGATTTTGATTTGCCTTTCCTTCATGTCTAAAGAGCCCGACACTTTTTAATGTGCTTATTGCACATTTGTATTATCTTCTCTTTGAGAAATGTCTGCTGAAGTCTAGCTCAGTTTCAAATTTTGTTTTTATTGTTGAGTTATAGGAATTTTATATATATTCTAGGTATTAGTCCCTTAATCATATATGTGATTTGCTAATTTCTAACATTACTGAATTTTATTAGTTATAAAATAAATATATTTAATTACTTTAGCACTTTGATGAATTTGCCTCAAACTCAGTAATCATTCTAATAACTCAAAAGATTTTTTAGCCTTATCAGTATATACAGTGTGCTATTTGCATTGTTTCAATCACTATTTAGATGCTTGTACATTTACTGAAGGTCATTAACTTGATGTGTGTGTATTTACTTATTTTTATATATCTCCATACTCCATATCCTACACTGTTTCTCTTTGTTTCTGCCTCTAACATTACTGTACTTGTGACAGGTTTTCCTTTGGTGACTGTTGAGTTTTTACTGAGTTGGTAAGTTTTTTACTGTAATTTAGATAAAACCATAGAAGGCTTAGCCTAAATGCTTTTTATTTTTAGTTATCACACAATTCTTAGTTGATACCACAGTAAACATAAACACTCTTAAGTTAACCTAAACAGAAAACAGTTGCTAAAGACACTTGGAAGCTCATAGACTCCACAGGACACCTGACATCAGGATGGTAAACAGGAGTGCTACCCAAACTGTGCCCTGGAGGTTGGCCTAGTGCAGCCTCACACTTGGTATCCCAGCTTGCTCTAACAGTGCAGGGGACAGTATGCCATAAGTGCCACCAAAATTTTTCCCTAAAGGGTGGATGCCTCTACTATTTCCCTCAAAAAAAGATGTCTTTTTTTTTTTTTTTTTTAAATTTGTATCCTCATACTGCTGCTTTTAAATTGAAGTCTTATGTGGATGGTGGGTACTAAATTCCATTGCTAGACAGAGCTGGAAAAATGAATTCTGACTTCTGCCTCAGGAGGACACATAGTGTGGCAGAAGTTTCAAAGACAGGAAACATAGGCAATGAGTCTAGATGGCCTTAAATGTGAAAGTGTCTGCCACATTTTTAAGGATTTTTTTTTTTTTTCTTGGCTGAAGATCGAACTTCAGGACCTTGCACTTGCCAGGCAGGTGCTTGTGCTGCTGTGCTGTCGCCAGGCCCTGTCTGCTACATTTTTAAGTACACATTTCCCTGTATAGGAACTGCTGTGCATCTATGCACTATTTATGCTTATGTAATCTATAAAGCTGTGGCTAATGAAAGTCATTCTACTGAAAATAAGCTCCATAGAAAGCAGGGGAAGAAGTGTCATGGTGTGTACATCAGTGGAGCTTGCAAAGAGAACTGTAAATATAAACAAAGACTTCATTTTTCTCATTTTAAAATTTAGTAGCAAGAGAAGAGTAAGATGTGGCTTAATGTGGAAAATAAAGGCAAACTGTACCTGCATGACTGTTGTCTCTATAGTTCAATATTTGAGACAGCCTGTCTTTCTTTTCTTGTTGCTGAGACAAAAATACCTGTTGTCTAAAGTTAAGGGAGGGAAGGTTTCCTTAGCTCACAGTTTGTAGAGGTTTGGTCCAGAATCTGCTGGCTCCAGGGCAGGGTAGCATCAGAGAAGAGAAATAGTGCATGGTGGCAGAAGGCAGAGAGCAACCAGGGACC